GCCAGAACTCTCCCCTGCCTCGCGCCAAATCAAAACCACGGTAGTATCTCATCCTGCAGGAAACTGACACTCCCTTGGAAAGAGTCTCAGGAACCTACTCACACTCATCCTCAACCTTTGTTCTGTATAAAGCAGTTCATTGACCCCCACCCCTTTCCTGTTTTCCCCCTTTCTTCTCATAGACTCAGTGCATTAAAAAATCTGTACCAAGAAAATGCCGAAAAGAATGAACAGTTCACATCCCCATTCCATTTTTATTTCTGTAAGTCCAGGTATCGCCTCTGATCAGGATAAGAGGTTCACCTCACTGAGATGACACAATCCCAGCAAGGAAATTTGACATTTTAATTAGTTTGTATTAGATCTGTTAGTTTTTCTAAAATACTAAAAGTAATTTGCAAATATCCCTGCCTGTGTCTGGAGGCCCCCAGCATGTGGAGCTAGACCCCGTGCAATTAGTAGCTTTCTCACAAGGGCCGATGCTTTAACCCACAGGGCTAAGTCCCTAGTGACTAGAGGAAGTTGAGGGACCAGGAAAGGCCTACGGGGAGTATACAAAGACGTTTGAAGTCACCGCATCCCGTAAACAACACTCTCCCAAGAGACAGCTGGGATTCTAGAACTAAACAATTACATTGCTGGTCCACATAATATCCAAAACAAGGGGTGTTCTTTAGCTGTAGTGGACAGTGGTGCGCGTCTGTCGATCTGTTGCCTGCCCAGTATCTCTTCCCCTTTTCCTGGTGAGAGAACCTTGATTTTTCTTTGGGAACCATTCCCCCACTCTAAAGCCCCTGCGGTTACTGTGGGGCTGCCTCCTGCTCTCTTGGCATCAGAGTGGGCGTGAGACCCAGGCTTGATGAAAATGTTTATATTTAGAAATCTAAATCTAAGATTTTTTTTTTTTTAGCTGTGAGAAACAAAGTTAGTTTAAATTGGCCTCCTCCAGTGTTGGCCAAGAAAGAATGCTTTGAACCCTAACATTGCTCTTGGAAGCAAGGGCATCACATTCGGCATAGTGCAGCGCCACCTAATGGCTGTGGGCAGAGAGTTCCTGCAGGTGCTAAGAATTGAATTGTTCCTTGAGCCACAGGTA